GCCACTGACACAGAAAGAGGATGTCAGAAGGGATCTGGTTGAGGAACGAGTCTAGGACTCTGATGGGAAATGACACGGGGTAGAAACATCTTGGGGACGTGGCAGGAGTCTGGGATGGGGATTGGAAGTGAAGACTCAGGTTTGGGGACAACCTGGGTGATCAAGATGCCCTGAGAACAGCCTGCACACAGACTCCTGGGAAGCAGGGTGCAACTGGGCCAGGTTCAGAGAGGGATGACAGGAGGGCGGGGAGTGAACACAGCCAGGAGGGCAAGGCTCCTGGAGGAAAGGATGTAGGGCGCCCAGGGGCAGCATCAGGCAGGACAGCTGGGGAATGCCAGGGCATTCTGAAAATCAGCTCCCTGGAGAGGGCAAAGTGGCACAGGCACAGGGAGAAGGGAGCTTAGAGACCACGCAGAGGGAGAAGGGAGCTTAGAGACCACGCAGAGGCCCAAACCCCGTGCCCTGGAGTTGAGGACGCTCAGGCCCAGAGCGTTCTGTCTTGCCCAAGGAGCCAGGACTGAACGCCAGCTGTCTGCTGCATTATTACTGTGTTTATCACGTAAACTCCACTGGCTACCTCTGCTTCCCAATGCATGTTATGTACTTATGAATGAGCAGGCGGCCATCTTTAGTCCTACTCAGCAGTGCAGCTGGACCGATGCAGGCGGCAGGACAAAGAAGAAACTCAACCCAGGGCCCAGTTTTCTGATTCCGGGAATGAAGGTCCCTCCCCTACAGCCATGTGTTTTCTCTGAAATCCTCTCTGCTCTTGCTGATGTCCTGACTGCCTGCCAGAAGCTCCAGCAGCAACAGCAGTAGTGACAGGAGAAGCTCCAGCAGCAACAGCAGTAGTGACAGGAGAACAAAGCAGACAGAAACAGGGGTGGGCTCCGAAGGCCCAGAGGACAGGACAGTCGGTCACCAGCAAACTGGCCACCTGCAGAACCCAGGAAGACGGACTCCAGTCTAAGATCTGCTAAGGCATGGCCGTCACACAGACGGGCTCTGGCCTGCCCAGCTGGCCTCGGCTCTCAGGAACGGGGAATGTCACGGTCTGCCCTTACCTGGAGCGCTCAGGAGTTTGCTCCTCCACGGGCAGAAAACACACTCCAATGTTTCCCAAAGGACAAGGAGCAAGCCTGTTTATAGTGTCCACTTACATATAACTTCCTTCAGCTACTGCAGGGTCACATTATTTAGAAATCCAAGTCATTTCTAGCTGCCTCTGCACCTGTCCCCAGAGCTCTCATTGGCATAAAGGCAACGGTCTACCAGGCTCGTCCTGGAGCAGCACAGGGCCCACCCCTGAGGCAGTGGTCTACCAGGCTCATCCTGGTGTAGCACAGGGGGCCACCCCTGAGGCAGTGGTCTACCAGGCTCATCCTGGTGTAGCACAGGGGGCCACCCCTGAGGCAGTGGTCTACCAGGCTCATCCTGGAGCAGCACAGGGCCCACCCCTGAGGCAGTGGTCTACCAGGCTCGTCCTGGAGCAGCACAGGGGCCACCCCTGAGGCAGTGGTCTACCAGGCTCATCCT